GAATCCTTGGTTTACGGCCGCTTCGAGTTGAAGGAAGTGTCAAAAGGCTAGTTTTTTTTCAATTTTATTGATTTGTTTGAGTGTTTTTATTTCAATTTGTCAAACTCACTCGGGTGCTCATCTCAATCATTCCAGCCTTGTTGGCGTTCAATAAGGGAGACCTTGGAAATAACTGGTAACTATTCAACTGGATTATCACATTAACAATTTGAATCAAATAAAGTGACATTAACCATTTGAATCACCTTAACCCCACTTGTTGAACTTGACCAAATGTCTATAACATAGCACTAACAAACGTACAAAGTAATACAAACAGAGGTACAAAGTAACACTAACAAAGGTACAAAGTTCATAAAAGATTTTTTTAATCTACAATACCATTGAACTTGACCATTATAGTGCCTCTCAAACGTAGGTAAAGTTTAAATTCGAGTCTCCTTGTCAAACTCACTCGGGTGCTCATCTCAACCATGATGGCGTTTCACAAGAGAGACCTAAAAAATAGCCGGATTATCGCATTAACCATTTGAATCACCTCAACCCCACTTGTTGAAATTGAAACAAATATCTATAACATAACACTAACATAGGTACGATGTTCATAAAAGTCTTTTTAATCTAAGATACTATTGAACTTGACCATTAAAGTGCCTCTCAAACTTAGGCAAAGTTTAAATATAATTGGTGACAAAAGATGAAACTATAAAATAAAAAGAAATAAGAAAATAATATTCAATTTCAGAGAATTAAACTAGAATCTCCTATGTGAAAGCAAAATATACAAACCGTAGGACAACAATGAATTTTAAGTGTAGTTGTCTTGGAGTCTTTTGTCTAATCGCTAATGAGTTTTACTATAATGTTTTGGGTAATGTCTAACTCTTCGACACGTCCTTTCATGTGTGTGAAAGAATTCTTAGAGTTACCGAGACTATTCGAGCTGTTCGATCGTTTGGCGCTTTCTTCAAAAGGATCAACATCAAACATCGAGTCCTTGATTGGCAACTCATCTAGAGGAGCGTCGATTGCATTGATTCCATCAACAGTCTTCCCATGAGTTTATGGTGCATGACCCTTTTTTTTACCATTCACCTTCGAGCGCCACCATAGTTTTGCATCGTCCATGAGATGCATTGCGACCAACGTAACTCTTAGGTTCTATGAGCAAGTTCCAGTAATCTTCGAGTATTGTTCTACGTCAAAAATAAATCTTTTTAATTCCTTAGCATCCCGGTTTCCATTTAAGGGGTTGTGTTATTGGATTTTAAGTTTTTTAAGGCCACATGAACTTGGCTTGAGCTGTGGTTCTCTACAGCCCAACTTGTCAAACTCACTCGGGTGCTCATCTCAACCATGATGTCGTTCAACAAGAGAGACCGTGAAAACGACTGGATTATCGCATTAACCATTTGAATCACCTGCTCATCTCAACCATGATGTCGTTCAACAAGAGAGACCGTGAAAACGACTGGATTATCGCATTAACCATTTGAATCACCTGCTCATCTCAACCATGATGTCGTTCAACAAGAGAGACCTCGAAAACGACTGGATTATCGCATTAACCATTTGAATAACCTCAACCCCACTTGTTGAAATTGAACCAAATATCTATAACATAACTCTAACAAAGGTACCAAGTTCATAAAAGTCTTTTTAATCTAAGATAGAAACTGTAAAATTGAACCAAATATCTATAACATAACTCTAAGTACCAAGTTCATAAAAGTCTTTTTAATCTAAGATAGAAACGGTAAAATAAAATGAAATAAGAAAAATAATATTTCATTGACAGGAATCGAACCCAAGTCTCCTCAATGAAAGCCAAATATCCTAACCGCTAGATGACAATGGATTTTTTGTGAGAATGTCCTGAAGTCTTTTGTCAGATCGCTGAAGAGTTTTAACATGATCTTTTGCTTAATGTCTAACTCTTCGACACGTCCTTCCTTGTGTGTGTTAGAGTTCTCAGAGCTACCAGGATGCTTCGAGCTGTTCGATTATGTGGCTCTTTCTTTAGAAGAGTCAGCATCAAATGTTAGGTCTTTGATTGGCAACCCATCCGGGGATCATTGATTGCATCGATTCCATCAACGATCTTCCCATGAGTTTATGGTGCATGACCCATTTTATATACCATTCACCTTCGAGCACTATATAGTGTTGCATCGTCCATGAGATGCATTGCGGCTAACGTAACTCTCAGGTCGTATGAGAAAGTTCTTGTAGCCCTCAACTCTCAGGTCGTATGGTAGAGTTCTTAGAGCTACCGCGACATTTTGAGGTGTTCAATCATTGGTTTTTTCTTCAAAAGAGTCAACATCAAACCTCAGGTCTTTAATTGGCAACCCATCCAGGGGAGCGTCAATTGCATCGATTCCATCAACGGTCTTCCCATGAGTTTATGGTGCATGACCCATTTTTTATATCATCCACCTTCGAGCGCCATCGTCCATGAGATGCATTGTGGCCAACGTAACTCTTAGGTCCTACGAGCAAGTTCGTGTAACCTTCAATTATTGTTCTACGTCAAAAATAAAGTTTTTTAATTCCTTAGAATCCGAGTTCCCATTTAAGGGTTTGTGTTTTTGGATTTTAAGTTTGTTAAGCCCAAAATGAGCTTGGCTTGGGATGGGGTTCTCTACGACCCTCCTTGTCAAACTCACTTGGGTGCTCATCTCAGTCATCGCAGCCATGATGGCGTTCAACAAAAGAGACCTTGAAAATTACCGGATTATCACATTAACCATTTGAATCACCTCAACCTCACTTGTTGAAATTGAACCAAATATCTATGACATAACCCTATTAAAGGTTCAAAGTTCATAAAAGTCTTTTTAATCTAAGATAACTTGATCTTTATAGTGACTCTCAAACCAAGTTCATAAGAGTCTTTTGATTTTAAGATACTATTGAACTCATCCATTATAATGCTTCTCAAAACCTAGGTAAAGTTTAAATATGAAACTATAAAATAAAAGAAATAAGAAAATAAAATTTCATTGTCGAGAATCAAACTCGGGTCTCCTCGATGAAAGCAAGATCTTCTATGTAATGTCTAACTCTTCGACACATTTTTTTATGAGTGTAATAGAGTTCTCAGAGCTACTGCCACGTTTCTTGTTCTTCGATCGTGTGGCTCTTTCTTCAAAAGAGTCAACATCAAACATTAGGTCTTTGATTGGAAACCCATCCAGGGGAGCGTCGATTGCTTCAATTCCATCAATGGTCTTCCCATGATTTTTTGGTGCATGACTAGTTTTTTATACAATACACCTTCGAGCGCCACCATAGTTTTGCATCGTCCATGAGATGCATTGTGGGCCAACATAACTCTCAAGTCCTCTGAGTAAGTTTCTATAGTCTTGAAATATAATATCAAAACATATTAACATATTTGATATGTTAAATATTAAAATAATTGATGTGTATCATAAACATTAAATAAAAATATATATTTAAAATTTGAATGAGATTCATATTAATTAAACATATATTATGATATTCTACGAAATTTTAATATTATTTAAATAAGATATTATATCTTAATGTATTAGGTATTCAAATATATAATTTGACAAAAATTATCACAAGTTCACCGTAAATAGAACCCTAGGGTTAAGTCAAAAAGCATCAAACACTAAATACTTTGAAATTTTAGGTGATATTTTGCAGAGGAAGTTGATAAGGTCTTCAAAGAGCATGTGGTCGTGTCTGACATTTTAGGTTAACAACATGTTGAAAAGAAACCAGAAATTCTGATACTCGTAATTAACTACAAACCTTTGAATAAGGTTTTAGAATAAATAAGATATCCAAACCAAATAAAAAATGATTTGATAAAAAGAATTTAGAGTCAAATGTTTTTATAAAATTCGATATGAAATTGGGATTTCGAAAAATTCTAATTACCTAAAAGGACAAATATAAAATAGCATTTAATGTCCAGTTTAGAAAATATGTGAGGAACGTCATGCGAATTAGGCTAAAAAATACTCCATCCGAATTCAGATTATTATCAATGATATTTTCAATTCTTTCAAAAAATATCAATAGTTTATATTGATGATGTGTTGATATTTTCTAAAACCATTAAGATGAACACTTTAAACATCTACATACATTCATTAATGCAATCAAAAGAAATCAGCTAGTTGTGCCATACCCAAAATCAAATAATATCAAACTCATCCGCTTTCTTGGATTTTAAATTTATTTGAGCCTTATAAAACCCATTCAATGGTCCATTGAGTTTGTGTCAAACTTTCGTAATGACGTATCCTAGAAAAGCCAACTTCAAAAAAAAAATTTAGGTTCTCTCAATTATGTGTCTTAAATCCTTCAAGACATCACGCATATTTACAAATGTTTTGATGAGTGTCTTGAAAATAATACAAAGTCTTGATTTGTAAAAGATATCTCTACACCCCAAAAAAATCAAATCATTAGTCAAATAAACTCTCTACTTAAGTCTTATTGACCCAAGGGCAGATCTCATAGTGAAACGTGACGCATCAAATATTGAATATGGAGGTATCTAAAATTGTCAAAGAGGACCGAGAATCAATTATCATATTTCATTCAAAAGCCTCTAATAATACCATACAAATTACAAAACAGTAAAAAAAAAATATATATATTATTTCCATTGTACTTCGTGCACAACAATTTTAAAGGAAATTTAAAATAAATCCAGCGTATTTGTCATACTTTTAAGTTCAATTACAATCAATCAAGAAAAGAATTGAGTTGTAATAAAATATCACTTGATATTGGAATGTAATTTGAAGACTTTTTATCTTCGGGAGTTGAATTACATTTAAGATTATTTATGTTATTTCTTATTTTCTTCAATTTGTATTTAATAGCTTTGGGTAGTTGGTAGATGAACTATGTTTGAATTATATTTTTGGCCTTTCTATTTTCGACCGACACGTTTTACACTTTTGGACTGACACTTGGTAGAAGGGGTCACTAAGGCTAAAATCATATAAAATGGGTTCATAGCTTAGTGGTAGAGCATTTGACTGCAGATCAAGAGGGTCACCGGTTCGAATCTGGTTGTGCTCTTTAAAAAATTTTGGACGAACACTTTGTTCGATTTGCTCCCAACCACCGAGTGTCTAAAGGAAAAGAAATAAGAGTAATTATCGATTCCAAACCTTATTCCAAAGTCCTCCACCATTAATATATTCATAATTTCATGTAGTCTTCATAAGTTTGCCGGCGACATTGTTTGTTGTTGAGCTTGATAATGTGAGTTTGTAACCCATCCGTTAGGGTTCTTGGAATGATTCTCTAGATTATCCCTTCCATGTTGGGAGTTGGGCCATGGGTCTTGGGTGAAGGAACCGTTGGTTTACCGCCCCTAAGAGTTAAGGAAGCATCTTGAGGCTAGTTTCACATAGTATCATTATCATTGAGATAACAATTCTTTTCTATTTTATCTAAATTTTTTAAATATGAGTTCATTTCCAAATGCATGCTAACACCTTATTACTGAATAAATGACATGAAACTAGTTTCACTTAGTAACGTTGCCTTTTGCTCCTATTGGTGGAAGGATAATAGGTCGATTATACCTTTATGGTAGTTTTAAGCGTGACAACATTTGACAACCAGACTAATTTTGCTTCATTTCTAAATGAAAACGTGTAAATTGTAAACTCAAACATTTCAAAGAAATAAACAAGTTTTGATGGTACCATGCTAACCAGAAAACAAATGTTAACTTTGACCAATCCCTATATATTTTTTTTTTCTATATTTTGAAACTATTTTAAGCACTTTTCTCGTGTACTCCTTACAAATTTACCTTTTAAGGTTGTAAACATTTGTGTATGGGTGACTATTATGATGTCATCTTTACCGGAGTTTTGGGATATTGTTATTAATGAGATTCAATCGACATTAGTAATTCACAATGATAATATTCAAAATACTTGACAAAAAAAAAATGGTCAACATAAGATATTTGAAACAAATAAATCTTTTGTCCTCTATGATATATCAAATCACTCCTTTAAAATTCCTTAATAATAAACCTAAGTCTTACATCACTTATACAGAAAAGTTCCTTGCATAGAAGTTTTATTAGATACTTTTAAACATCTAGAGATCAACTAGACACAAAGCTAAACATTCTAAAAAAAAATTAGGGGCTAAACTTTTAAGTTAACGTAATTTAAGAAACTTATGATTTTTATATTATCAAGAGTTTAATTGAGCTAGGTCGATTCAATCTAGTGGACCCAAGAATTGAACCGAACCAAATCAACTAGTTAGTAACATGATTTAGTGGAAGCATTTTCATGCAAAGTAGAAGCAACAATGGAGGGTTTGAAATAATATAGTTTTTACCCCTTAAGGTCATTTTACACCGTTTCTTGGTTTACCTACTTATCCTTATCCAATGACCACCAAATTTCATATCTAACCTCAAAATGCTATAAATGCTCAATATTAAAATTTAATAGACAGCGAAGCTCAGATAGTGGGTTATTTTAACATTACTTAAATCTCGAGCTATTTGATTGGTTCAGGGTCTTAACTCAGGGTTCTTTGGGTTTTTTTTTCATATATTCTTAATTCATACTTGCTTTAGGGTTCATATGAAAATCCAAGCGACTTCTACAAGTATTTCTTAACAAAGAGTCCAAGGGGGCTACTTGTCTCGTCGTCGACGTTTGGGACCTTCATTCTTGAGCTTCCAGTATCTGAATTACTTCAAATTTCCTTCCACATTCTCCTTATTGTGTCTAGTTGATGAAACTATAATGTTTTTTTACGAGAATCGGTCTAGAATGAGGTTAAAATTGAGAAAATTTGAGAAAATGTCGAATTTTGAGTTGACTTGGACAGTTCAATTGAACTGGCCATATCATCGTTTTCTTCCTCTAAACAGGAAGAAGATGCACATTTTTCGCATTGCCACCATCTGAAACTCGGCTTGTACAGCCACATTTACAGCGTTTCTCTCCTTGATTTCTTCGTGAAACTTAAAGATGGATGTTACAAGAAAGGGCTAGGGATTTATTTGATACCTTCTCGTGGATCGTAACCTAAGATATTCGCTTCCAAAGTTCATGCAAAATCTGATTTATCGTTGGAGATAAAACAAAGGATTTCTTATTGGGTAGCCGATTCTAGGGGTTTCAAGACCCTATTTCTTCTTTGAACCTCTTCCATATCTTATCTTCAAGCTAAAGGAATTGGTTTTGGAGGAACGTCTTTGAGTGTAGGACCTTAACTTCTAGAAATCGTTCTTGGTATGCAACTCACTCGAAACTCCAGCTTTCGATCTCGTGGGTAGTTTGTTCTACGACGTTTCAGCTCTCGATTCCTTCATCAAGTTTACTCAACTTCTTCCTCTGAAACTAGAGGAATCCTTAATTTGAAGGAAAAGAGAATGTAGATAGGAATTCAACTCTTATCCCCAATTTAATTTCGAAACCTATTTCCTTCAATTTGGTACGCTCTCGAGCTTATTTTTCTTTGTGGTCTTCTATGGAAGCATTCCTTGGAGGTGCAGAAACTAATTGGAATTATTTTTGCTCGACGAGTCATCATGTATTCTCGGATTGGATTTTCAAGTTTTTTTTGATGTTCTTCAATGGTGGATTGAATTGGGGGAATGGTTTCTAGGCACTTTCAGCACTCTATTCGTTCATAGAACTTGTGGGTAATCTTGTTGAGAAAATGTAGGAATAAGATTGAAGAGAAATGGTGGAGGATTGCTCTCGAATTTGGAAGAAATCTGAGAGTAGGAGACCCATAATCTAAACACTCATTGCTTTCGATTGGGGGATCAACCTTTCTTGATTCTTATTCCATATTGTTGCTCCTATTTCACACTTTATAGGAGATGCTTAAACCGACATTGAGAGCTCTAGAATCTTCGTTATTTAGAGATCGAATTTTTTGGATAATTTTTGTGAGATATCAACTCTGATCATAGCCTTACCGACCTTGGCTTTGAATACTCGTCGTTGGATGTGATGATCTGTGCTTGTTCGTTCTAGATCATATCAAATTTTGGAGGAGATCCGACGGTTGAGATTTGAGTTCGAAGGATTTTGCTCGGATGGTCACCGTTGATGCTCTGATTCTAATTAGAGTGTCATTTCTGTAACTATCCATTCTTCCAGAGGTATTTTGGTAATATTCTACTTTTTGAATATTTTATAATTATTTTTCTCGACCAATCATAATTTTTCTACAAATTCCTAATTGCTTTTTTATCATTTTTCCCTTATTTTGAATCTTGAGATTTCTTCTAGATAAAATATTACAAATCCGGAAAGATTCTTGATAATATAAAATGACTTTTTTTTTACCCTCTCCATTTACTTTTTCCTTTCCAATCCTTTTCAAAAGGCAACTCTTTGAAATCACTTGATAGGCATAGAGTGACTTGACTAAGTCCCTTGTTCTTGCTTAATACTTTAATTTTTTTCCTCTCTATCCTTTGGGTCTTTCATGAGTGGCTTATTCTTATGGGAGCTAATTTCCTTCATTTTCGGGGTGTTACATATACATACTCATTACAAACACAAAATAAGAAGTAGATTCAAAAGAATAACAAAAAAATACTAGATTAAAAACAGAGGTTAGTCTATGGCCCACACTCCAAAGTCCTCTCTCATCCACGACCAACTCTTAGTTACTTGAAAAAAAATGATAAACATGGAGTGAGTAAAACTTAGTAAGCAGCCTACTAGTAGGTTCTTAATGGCGACCTTAAGCTAGGATATTACTTCTTGTTATGTTTTCACGATCTTATACTTATCTTGAAAACCTTCCCCTAAAATAACCTTCAATTTTCTCCCCATGAACACAATTTTCTCCTCATCTATCTTTTTTTAAACACTTTTGAAAGTTAAAGAGTAGTTTTGAAGCTTTTTTTTTTTTTTTTTTGAAAATTCCACAGTATTTTTTTTTTAAAAAAAATTATGAGTAATTTTTTTTTAGATAAAGTGCAAATTTCAATGGTATTTTTATTAATTTAGTTTATAATTTAAAAAAAAATACAAATTTTTGTTGATTAAGTTGATGTTAATTTTATTAAAATACATAACACCACATCAAAATTAATTTATTCGGAATAAAATTAAAACTAAAAAATCAATTTATTTTAAACTAAAAAAATTAATTAATTTTAAAACTAAAAAGTATACTTGGTTGGACTAAAACATCCCTTATCCCAACTATAAAGAATTGAATTCCAAGCTCCCTTCTAATAGACAAATGATTTATTAACCTCTATTGTAAGATTTCACTTCATCAATTTAAGTAGCGTTCAACTATAAATATCGAATGTTAAAGTATTCCTCGACAAAGTAAATCTGTTGAAACTGTCTATCAAAGGTGTTCCATATAAGTTGTGGAGAAGTGTTTCCTTCAACTCTAATTTCAATTAAGGATGTCAATGACAAAAAAGTGCACGAGGTTAGAAGGTTTGTAGTGGAAGAAAATAACATGAGTCATGGACTTTTTTTCGTTTACAAGCTGTATCATGTGTCTTATTCATGGTTACTTAAATCTTATTGAATTGGTGCGCCTTTCACATCAGAGACATTTGTGCCTTAAATCTCTTTGCTTGCTGGAACATTTGCTTGACATAATTCGACCAAAGACGGTATGGACGACCTTAGCTAATTGTATTGGTCTCCAATCATGAAGTGTGACGTCGGATCTTTGTGCATACCATACTCATTAACTATAACATGGCAAGAAATTTTTTCTGTTTTGACTGGGCATGCCATATTCAGTTGTTCTTATATATCTTTAGTTACCTGTGATTAAAGCAAAGAAGTATAGACATGGTTTCCAACCAACCCTTCCTTTATAGTTAGTTCGACGAATGGGTTTTTGTTATCATTTTATCGTTAACCCTTCCACTCGATTTTGTGTTATGATATCATATAGGGAATCAGAAGCGACCTTACTTGGACAAAATTATATACCGTTTGATAATTATTGTTGATAACAAAGATAAATTGAATTATAAGCATTTTAAGTTCAAAAGTAACAAATTACTTGTACACTTTTACTTATAATCTTCATTTTCT